GCGCGAACATCCCCTCGTGACGTTCTGAACGTGCAGCCGCTTGTAGCTTAGTTACGCCTGCGCAGGAGAAGGATTATCGCAACTTTTCCCAATCACCTTTCCTCGCTCACCGTGCCCCAAACAGCGCTGCCTCTTTTTTCCCATGAATACCCGCGCCCCTTGCCTTCCCGAAGCAGGTTTGGGATGTCTTCTCCCGTCTCCTCGCTTTGCTGCAAACCTCGGCGTCTCACCGCTTTGGCTTGCTGCACATCGGGCAAAAGAAACCAGGTTAGTAACACCTTTCCTTAGCATAAAGTTATCAGTGTTAAGCTGTGTTGTAGCATGAATAAGTACTTTATTCACTTTTGCGGCTGAATAATATTCCATTGTTTGAATATACCATATTTTGTTTTTCCGTTTTTTGGCCACTATGAATATTTTATGGCTATAAAAACTTAAATACAAGGGTTTGTGTGGAGCCATACTGATGTTTAGTTTGTTTGAATTGGTACCAAAATAAAGTCCACATGGTGATATTAGTTGATAAATCTTTTAAATCTCTGTAGGTTCGTCCTCTGCAGCTTTGTTTAATTTTTTCAGTTTGTTGAAGAAATTGAGTCATTTGTCCTGTGCAGTTTCCAAAGATTTGGATTTTGCTGATTGTGTCCTTTTGGCATAATTTCACATGTTTTTCTAACGTCTGTAGTTTCATTAATTGGTAACTGAGTGTGGAGGCTTGTTGAGATTCAGACTTGGTGGGGGAGGGGGCTGGTAGGATTATATTATGGGTAGTCTGATTCTACAAGCATCTGGTTGTCTCTTTTTTTGATGTTAGCCATTGATGATCATTGCTGATATCCATTAAGGAATGAGAAGTAGTGATAGTCTAATTCTGTCAAATTTGTCCTCAACTATATTGTTACTGCATCATTTGGTTTCTATGTAAAAAGAAGGATAAAATGCTTGAATATTTCCCTTTATTTACTAGTTTTCTATATGAATTGCTTAATTATCATTTGTGGGCTTTAAAAATGAACTCATGGATTAGACATATTTAGTATATTCTAATCCATTGGAGTTATTATTCTTTTTTAAAGTAATACTTCAATTAAAAAAATAAGTTTCTGTATTTCGGCTGGAACACCTAAATAGAATTTTTGACCTTCATTATATTAGCTGATTGATATTTCTTTTGAAATGGAGTCCTCTTATTTAGTTTTTTTTAAACTTATTTTTTAAATTGAAGTATAGTTGATTTACAATGTTACAGTTTCTGGTATACAATAAAGTAATTCAGTTAGATGTATATGCTTTTTCTGATTCTTTTCCATTTGTTACATGTTTGTTGCATTATAGTTATAGTTCCTGTGCTATACAGTAGGACCTTGTTATTTATCTATTTTACATGTAGTAGTTTGTATCTGATAATCCCAAACTCCCAATTTATACCCACCTGCCCCCTTTCTCGTTTGGTAACCATAAGATTGTTTTCTATGTCTGTGAGTCCATTTCTGTTTTGTAAGTAAATTCCTTTGTATCATTTTTTTAGACTCCACATATAAGTGATACCATATTTGTCTTTCCCTGAGTTAGTAAAATAATCTCTGGGTCCACCCATGTAGCTGCAAATGGCATTATTTCAGTCTTTTTTATGGCTGGATAATAATCCATTGTATATGTATACACACACAACTTTTTTATCCGCTCATCTCTTGATGGACATTTAGACTGTTTCCATGTCTTGGGTATTGGAAATAGTGCTGCTGTGAACATTGGGGTGCATGTATCTTTTCAAATTAGAGTTTTCTCTGGATATATATCCAGGAGTGGGATTGCTGGATCATATGGTAACTATTTTTAATTTTTAAGGAATCTCCATGATGTTTTCTATAGTGGCTGCACCAATTTACATTCCCACCAACAGTGTTAGGAGGGTTCCCTTTTCTCCACACCCTCTCCAGCATTTATTATTTGTAGATTTTTTAATGATGGCCATTCTGACAGATATGACATGATACCTCATTGTAGTTTTGATTTGCGTTTCTCTGATAGTTAGCAGTGTTGAGCATCTTTTCATTTACCTATTGGTCATTTGTGCCTCCTCTTTGGAGAAATGTCTTTTTAGGTCTTCTGCTCATTTTTTGATTGGGCTGGTTTGTTGTTGTTGTTGTTGAGCTGTATGAACTGTTCATATATATTGGAAATTAATACCTTGTTGGTCACACCATTTGCAAATATTTTCTCCCAGTCGTGGGTTGTCTTTTCATTTTATTTATGGTTTAGTTTGCTGTGCAAAAGCTTATAAGTTTGATTAGGTCTCATTTGTTTATCTTTGCTTTTATTTCTGTTGCCTTAGGAGACTGACCTAAGAAAACATTGTTATGGTTTATGTCAGAGGATGTTTTGCCTGTGTTCTCTTTAGGAGGTTTATGATATTCTGTCTTACGCTTGTCTTTAATCCATTTTGAGTTTATTTTTGTGTCTGGTGAGAGGGGAGTGTTCTAACTTCACTGATTTACATGTGGCTCTCCAGCTTTCCCAGCACCATTTGCTGAAGAGACTGTCTTTTCTCCATTATGTATTCTTGCCTCCTTTGTTGAAGATTAACTGACTGTAGGTGTGTGGGCTTGTTTCTGGGCTCTCTACTCTGTTCCATTGATCTATATGCCTTTTTTTGTGCCAATACCACACTGTTGTGATTTTTGTATCTTTGTAGTATTACTCTTTTTCCTCAGTATGGCTTTGGCAATTCTGGGTCTTTTGTGATTTCATATAAATTTTCGGATTATTTGTTCTAGTTTTGTGGAAAAAAATGTCCTGAGTAATTTGTAGATTGCTTGGGTAGTATGGCCATTTTAACAATACTAATTCTTCCAATCCAAGTGCATGGGATTTCTTTCCATTTCTTTGAATCATCTTCAGGTTCCTTTATCAATGTTTTATAGTTCTAAGCAGATAAGTCTTTCTCCTCCTTGGTTAGTTTTTTCCCTAAGTATTTTGTTTTTTGATGTGATTTTTGAAAGTGATTTTTAAAATTTTCCTTTTCTGATATTACATTGTTTGTGTCAAAGAAATGCAACATACTACTGTATGTTAATCTTCTATCCTACTGCCTTGGCTGAATTCATTGATCAGTTCTTGTAGTTTTTGTGTGGAGACTTCAGGGTTTTGTATATATAGTATCATGTCATCTGCGTATAATGACAGTTTTACCTCTTTCTTTCCAATTTGGATACCTTTTATTTCTTTAAACTTCAGATTTTGTTTCTGGGACATACATCTCTGAATTCTTACAAATTGTGAAGAAAATGTAAATGTTTCACTTGGCGGTGGTATGATCCACTGGGCATTAGAAGCTGGATGAGTGATTATCCTGAGAAGGTGAAATTATTTATGATCTTTAAAGGGAAATAAGAGCATGGAACATCCTAAGATCTATTTGCTTCGAAATTCATTTTGATTTATGATGAGGGAGTTA